GGAGAATGTCTCAAGCTACACATCTTTGGAGCCAGCCATAAAAATAATGCACAGGTATCAGATGCTATATAATTAGATGGGAAGGAGAGCCATTTATGGATTAATAGCATTTCAAAAAACAGAACAGGTGGGGAAAAGCCCCCCATGCTGATTTGAGATTAAAATAGTGATTAATAACATGAGTTGGAAATTATTTTGAGGTCCCTACTAGTACAAAGTTATATACAGAAATCATTGCCTGTGTGATTAATACGTTACTGATGCTAGACATGGCTTTACGTAGAAAGTTTCATTTACAGATACAAATGCAAAACAAGTCGTGGGCATAAAATGTCTCACTTCTATATGGCTGAGGAGAACACTCCTAGCGTAGAGTTGGAAGAGGCAGATTACATTTTACTTGGAAGATTGTACCTGTTCGACACGATACGGTTCATGACAAAATCTGACTGTATCCCAGTGAAAACCAAGCGTAACATATTCACGCTCATTTTCGGGTGATGCTTTTAAGGTCACTTCCAGGCCGTCTCATCACAGCCCTGGAAAGCATTGCCTAAATCCTTCAACTCAGCTTCAGGCCCAAAGACTGACTCAGAGCACGGCTGTCCCCAGACTGCTGTGCTGGGGAAATACCTATATTTAGTTAATGCCTCTATTCTGGAGTGCGAAAGTTGGGATGAGCCGGGGCACGTTTGCCCTCTGCGTTTTCCTCTGAGGAGCCCTGTTGCTGGCGCTACTTGTGCCAGACACCGTTCACAGGCTGAGCTGGGCTCGGCTCAGTCCTGACCTTCTGCCCAAGGGTCAGCCGCTCCAATTCATCCCCAGCAAGCGGCAGGCTGGGGCCCAGCGACTCCTCACCTTGCAGGGTTCCCGTTCCCCCAGCGTTTTCCTGGGGGACTGACTGCCCTTCTCCGAGGCCGCAGTCTCATTTGCAGTGGGATGACCCCCAGCCCTCCCGTGGGGAGTTAGAAAGCCGCGCGGTACTTTCTCCTCTGCACTGTGTTTCGGAAGGTGTAGTCTAGTGCTACTCTAAGGAAGCAACATGCTGTAATCCTAGCACAGGGCGACACGAAGAGAAATCCAGCTCTTGAGGGCTACTGTGCAGCTCCCACCTTTCTACTCAGGACAAGAGGTGCACCCCTCAAAAGCCTCAAAAATACTGTGAAGGAAATGATTTTGGCAATAAGAGCGTTACTCATCACCAGCCAGCTCACCTTGAACAAAGAAATGGGACGTATTGGCACAAAGCTGAGGTTGCTTGTCAAGCTCTGTGAAATCTATTTTGCCACAAGCTCTCTACAAATTGAAGATTAGATTTAGTTAGGTTTTCTGTTTCAGCTTGTATTTTTTTTAACAGTAGCCATTGTCACGCTGAATTGTATAAACGATGGACTTATCTGTGCAGCTCTTACAAAAGACAACTATCGGAAACCACGGCATCTGTTTTTGCTTGCAGGACCTGATGTCTGCTGAAAATCCGAGCCTGCTTCCAGCTTAGCCAGTGGCATCCCCTACGTGTCCTAATGACACCTGGCCCAGGAACAGACCAGTGGATTAAAAGGTGAGCCCTACGGTATGGGCAGCCTGTGCACATCACTACTTCTGCCTGTCCTTCAAGTCAACACGGGAGCCCACGCAGCTCCGCACCAGAGAGAGACACTCTTTTTCGTTACCAAGACACAGCTGTAAAAAGCTCTTGGTCATCTGCAACTGTCTGTCTGTTCAGCCAGAAGAAAAGCACAGCTTTTTGCCTCCTGTTTTTAAATCCATCCAATTTGCACACAGAATGTCTGACTTTTCTCCTGCATATGGAAGTGGATCAAATGACCCTTGATCTAAATGTACACAGCTTCACACTTAGTGCTTGGTTTTGATGGCAGTTCTGTTCCTATCTGCGGAAGATGGCACTTGTTCTCAAGAAATGGCGACTTTTCTCTTCCAGTTCCAGGGAACAGATCCTTCAAGGCAATACGCTGCTACAGAGCTCTTGGAATCCTAACATACAGCAATCAAGTTGGATAGCGGTGCTAATTAGCGTTGCTTAACTGGAGCCAATAAACATGTATCCGGTGGCACTCTGGGAATCTGACTGCAGGGGTATGCTGTTCAAGCAGGGTAAGGGAACGGCCGTAAGCGTAACTTGCATCTGGGACTAATCGGTGGTTCTTTTTTTCTCTCTCTCTCTCTTTTTTTTTTTTTTTAAAGTTAAACTCCTGTCAGCTTCCACTGAGACTTTGTGCAGGTAAAAAGTGATCGCTGAAAGGATCCCTAGACTACCTATTCCACCTCCATACCTCTCACACCCTTGCACATGCGCATTACTCAGGCTGGTAAACATGACGGCACCAGTGACCCAGTACAAAAATCAATGACTGAGCATTTAAACTAGCCACAAATAGCTACGAAGCTGCAAAAAGGCATGTACATAGGAAAACCGTTGTCACCTTCAATACGCCGAGGAATTGCTGACTCCAAAGTAGAGAATATAACTCTCATGATGATAAGGAATTAATTTATGCCCTATGAGTATTCTCCCTTTAGATACACTATTTCAGAGCATGAGTTACGTAGGTAACTTACGGAAAAGGTTGTTTCACGATTACTCTTAGCGCAAACTAAAACATCGCTCTCACCAGCCAAAAGTGCTTTTAAAAGCATCATCCTCTATAGATCGTGCTGCTGGAAATGGAACCGGGGTTCTGTCTACAGTACTTCTGTGAACATTTACTCCATAACAGAACAAACTTTTTGCAGCTGTGCCTGAGATTCATAAAATGTTTTCTTTCCTGCTTCTAGTTCCTCAAATGAATTTTTTGTGGATAAAGTCATGGAAAGAATGTTTTGTGTTTTTATTGTGCAAAACCTGCTAGTAAGAAATCTTGAATTGACAGCATAGGCACAACAAATTTCATTTTCAGAGTAGAAGTGAACGGAGATAAGAAAAAAAAAAAAAATCTACTCTCTGACTACTGTAACAATCAAAACTTACCAACCAGAGGCAGTTTTGATCAAATAATCGTAGCGAAGGCCTACAGGTAAGAATTATGCACCAAATAATTTCATGCCAGGAATCAACTACCGTGATTTACTCATAGATTATTTGCAACTACGTTCTAGAATACGTGTTGTGAACAAGTCACTCAGCCGCTTCGCTGAGTGTGATACTTTCATACCCTTGGCCTGCTGAGTTGCCGTAGCGGCATGAAAGAAAAGTCTTTGCTTTTGACATACCGCAAATATGCACGCAGCAGCAATGTGTTTTGTGTTCTTCCAACCGAGGGCACTGACATCTAATAAGCTGAATTACGAAGAATATGTCAACGAAAATGAATACATACATGCAGTCGGTGACATGTCATACCAAGGAGATATATGTCTAAGTTGGATTATCTAAGGCTCTTAGGATTTCAGATTTGTTTTTCTTCCTTGCTGCACTACTCAATAACCTAAGGCAGAAAGCTTAGCTTTAAAATTAAGAACAGTATATTTCTAATCTCCCTCCCCATTAGTCACCCTAAGAACAGAGACAAAAATTAACAGCTACTGCTGCTTCTAAAATCTTGTACAAAAATAGATCAGTCTATCCTGGCAGTCTCAAAAATCTTGAAGAGTCTTCTGCAAATTCCTCTTTCATTCTTGATTTCAACAGAAACAGTCAGTCCCCATTGCCAAGACTTGTGTCTTGGTCAAATTCGCAGACGAATGAAGTTCGTACTCTCTTTCCTTGGAATCGCTATTCGGAATCCATTCCATTTCCATCCTCTTTGTTTGGATTTCTTTACATTGTTTTCTTTTTTGTCCAAAGGAAATGCATTGGGAGTGCAAAAAAAAAAGTAGGTATCATGAAACACGCGCCTCTTCCCCGCCCTGCC